TTCTCAACAGTATTTCAGTCATATAGGCGGGTAGTTTCCTAACCATCGTTCCTGGAGAGTTACATTAGTACTAGACTACCTTCCTCCGCGCTAAACTACCGAAGAATCTCCCGGGGATCGAACCCATGGTGAATGGTACATTGGGGAAAAAAACATATGAAAAAAATGCGTTCTATTTTTATTTTTATATTTACTTGAATTATACACATGTTGTATTGGATTGATCAGAATATTGACTTCATTGGCACGCCCTTTTATTAAATGCCAAGGTATACATGAAATATGTGATTATGTTTTATTTTTAGGGAATATTTTGTCATCTTGTACAATCATACAATAATATTTTGAATGTGAACATGTGTATTATTTATCTTAAAGATAAAGAAGACAAGAGTTAACAGAACTGAACAGATCTTTTTTTATTTCTGATTTGTACATAGTACATCATCATATACATAACATTATAATATTCAAGTAACATGTACTTTTCAGTGCAATCAATATAAAGAAATTAATATTATAAATAATATAAAGAGATTTATAATTGTAATTGTAACAATTGTAATTGTTCAGATATTAAGCCTCAGTTAAGTGAGGATGAACAGATTTAAGAAGAAAAATCAATATCAAAACTAATTTTTAATCTATCATTTAACTTTATTTTTAATAAACTAAATTTTGATCATTGAACATTATTTAACACTGTAGTTCTAACAGTCATAGCATTTTTGTAATATAGTGCTAATTTACATAGCTCATTTCTATTATTACTTTGCAGCAATGCAATAAATTTGTACATACTTGGGTTAACAAAATAATATCTTTTAATATAAAGGGTACGAATATTTGTATAACAAGGACATATAAGAACAAAATGAAATTCGAATTAACCCAAGCCTTCGTACACATGACCTTACTTGATCAGATGATAAATTTGACCGGTCAATGTGATTAAAAAGATCGTTTTAAAAAGTATAAAAATAACTGTTAAGTCAGCAAAAAAACATTTATCCATGCTACTATAATATGCAAACAACACTGACCTAACATGAACTTTAAATTATATAGTTCGACCGCTAATTCATTGACCAAAGCAGAATACTTCGTAGAATATCATATTGCATAAAGCAGACGTCAATACCAAGCGTTTATTGCGCCATATCTCGTACAGTGAACCCGGAGAGCACGGATTTCTTTAGAGTTGATAGCGTTCTTTAGCGTTTTAATATGAAATAATCTTATTATATGTAAAGATTTAGTTTCATTTTCACTGAATTTAAGCTATTGTACAATATGTTTACAGTTATTGTGACAAGAGTTATCTGACATGTTCCATATAAGACACAATTAATTTTATAACACAGTTCGCTTTCCATAATTTTATAATCAATAAAGAGAGAAACAAATTTTAGGCATGCTGGATTTTTTTTTGTCTGTTGGAGTGAACTATTTCAAAGTATTACATTCATATAAAGATATCTGTTTTATTTTGCTAATGTATATTTTATCAGTACAATCAGTTAATGAAGCACGCTGTAATAGAACATCTTGATAATAGTAACAGTTTTATCATGTATATAAAATTCACCATTTAAAAGACGATAACACATTGCACGCTGATAATAATGATACTATTCTGTGATATTAATCACCCAGAATTTCAAAGGAAAAAGTAATAATTGGAAAAGCAGAAACATTTAGTGTAAACACCCGTTTGTTCACAAAATCTCGGTCAGTGTGCTATCGGTAATAAAAACTGGGTTAATGTTATTAACGTAAGGTTAGGGTATACCATTAGTATTATATTAGTTTTAAATTTGTAACAAAAAACAGAGTTTTTTTCTGGGCGGGGGCGGACGGTGAGTGTGGGGATAAAGGGGTTGTTATGTTAAACTGACATTGTCAATGTTTTAAAAGACGGTCTCAGATGCTACTTTGTGTTATATGACTCCGGCAATGAGGTACTTTAGAGGCGCAACTTCTCTTTCGTATAGTTAAGCCTTCACTTTGCTTCGATTTGTAGAAGTGTGCGAGTATGCGTGCGAGCGTGTGCGTGTTATATATATGTTAGGGACTTGAAGGGCAAGTGATTCTAGGTTTTTTCATATCCAAATTAATACGTTGTACTGTTCTCTTTATATTTTTTCAAATATTTTCTAGTTTTTTTTCAGCGTTATATCCTTTCTGGAATTCTAATTTCTGTGAAGCGATTTTTTTTAAAATTCTAACGAGACTAAATAATCAAGAATTACATGGAACATGATTGCAGGAATTATAGTAGACCACATGTTCACTTTCTAAAGCTTACATACAAAAGTTAAGTATTTAATTTCCTAGATAAAAATTTTAATTTCAAGACGCCAGTTGTTCAATGAGGGTAATAACAGTTCTAGAATTTGATTCAGTGGATTTTAATTTCAATCAAATCGTAAACAAAATATGTGCTAGTGGCAGAAGCTTGTGTAAAACAGAATCATATCTGTAGAAATATCCTCTATTTTTGGATATCGTTATCACACTTTTGAGTGTTATTTCATTTCATATACGTATTTTAGCGAAGAATAGCTGTAACTGAACAAAATAACAAACATACAATGGAGGGTACAAGGATCGGTTTTGGTGCATTGACATCTGCAGATTTAAAGTTTAAGGATTTGATATTTTATTTAAGTAAAGTGTTTAAGATGTAACTTTTCAGCAAATATAACAAGCAACATAAAAAGAAATAATAAAAGGTTTTAAAAAATGAAAATATTAACATTATTGAGGCTTAATGTGTCTTTTAAAATCCTGTAACACAAATTTTTTTATTGTTTTATATCATAAATATGATGCTCAAATTAAGATTTATTAATTTTGTAAGTTCCAAAAAGCATTGTTTATAAAGATAGATCCCTAAATCTCCTGAACCTTTCAATCACAGCATATTTGAGATATTCCGGGCTGGTAATTTTTAAAACTTTTTTTAACTAAAATTAAATGTTAATTAAGATGTATATCCAGTTGAAGAAATGTAAAATTGTTATTTACTTATTTTAACAGGCAATCTTTGCCAAAGGCCAAAACAAAGAATTAGCTTGCATTTCTTTCTCCAGGCATTTTGATTTTATATATAATTGTTTTGATGACTATTTTATCTCAGTTTGTTTTAAGAAAATGCTGAATAAAGAAGATTTCATATAATTTTATGATTGTATATGGATTGTGCGTTTAGATAACGCAGAAAGTTTGCTCTATTAATATTAGAATGCGCCCTCTCTGTTTTCAGATCATAATAAAAAACATTTTAACATTATAACTGCAAACATATCTTTCAATAATGCATATTAATTTTTTCTCTGTATAGAGTAATTATCTCAGCACATCTAGCATATGTTTTATATACATACAATTTTTTATGAGTTTTATGTTCATTGTATATGTAATTGTAACTATCATTATCACATTCTCTTATATTATCATATAATAAATACGTTATATTAACATATGTATTGTACATTATTCTGCGTGATGCTATGATAAACCATCAGTACTTTTGCATACATTAATAAATGCCTACAATCTTGTCTCGTGCAGTTCGTAAATAATCACTACGTTTATATTTTTTATATTTTGACCGGGTCACACCGATCACTTACTTATTATGATAATATGGCGTTTTTCCCATTTTAATAATGGATAAAGTTCTCACGTGCCCCTCCGTGCATTATTTCAGGCACGAGCGGGGTAACTAAGAAGGACCACTGATCTTCCGTACGCTACCTTTCTCATATAAAAGAATCCAAAGTGAGGGATTTGAATTCAAAACGATTAGGGGCAAGTGGCTCACAGTCAACGACTTTTACTACTCGGCCACGGAGGCCCATTTACTTTTTTCTGTTTTTTGATGAAAACTATTAAAGGGGCTTCACTGAGGTAAAAAAAAAGCCTCAGGAATAAAATTTGAAATAAAGAAATATACTCAGAATTAAATAGAATATCGGTTTTTGTGTAATTCTTAGTCCGCATTAGTTTTGAAAGCGTATACATGTACAACCATTTCATTTTAGATCAATTTGCAAATAACAATAATTATTATGCCATGGGAAAACGGGTCGAGGGGATGAAGTGAAAAATTGCTCAAATGGTACACGGGAAAACCCATATCCTGGTCACACGTATATCCATAATCAGGGACAATATACATGTATATCATTGCATAGATCCCTGACCTGTCTAATGCTAATTATCAGATTAGTGGATACAATAAGAATTTCACCACAACATTTTGTTACATGTCAATGTTTGTAGTTAAATAAAAGGTCAGAGGGTAAGTTTATATATGGTCAGATATAGAGTCTATCAATGGTGTTATAGAAAATGTATATTTACAAACTGGTCATTCTTTGTATATTCCTGGTTTAAAATGGAAAATAGAAAAAAATAGAAAAAAGTGCATCATCGTGGTCATAGATAAAGTATATCTATGGTCATGTATAAAGTAAACCCATGGTCATGTATAAAGTAAACCCATGGTCATGTATAAAGAATATCTATCTTGATTATATCTTGTTCAATTTTTATTTAAACTGAAAGTTCTTTTTTTATTTCTGTTTATAGTATTCATTTGGTCATACCACTAATGAAACTATAACATTTGGTCGGTGAGATATATATTTCGATGTTACACGGAAACTGGTATACACTTTAACAAACAACATAGTTTTTATTTCAACTTTAGATACAGAATTTTAAGAGGGAAAAATCTAAATGCATAGCAGCTGCATACTTCTAATAGTGATAATCTTGTGCACATTATCTTATCATGTTATAATATGTTAACATTGTACTGATTTACACCCAGATACCGCAAATATGTCATGTGATTTTAAGTGTTAACGACTTTCCAAACTGGGTCATCACCATCCTTAATCCGCGTTTTTGAAATGTATAAAAAGAAACATTAACTGTTCGTTATAGTCAAATGTATTTGATTAGTAAATAAAAAAAACAAGCTGTATTGTGTTCGCGTTGGTTGTTGGTCTCATTTATTGATTTAAAGTTTACTGAACATCATTTAGTTAACCGTTAGTTATTTATTCATTTTATTTCATTTATGAAATCGTAAAGCTTGCATCTGCAGTTATTAAAGTGGATGTGTTACGTCATATTGTCGTAGTAGATTATTACGTGAGATGTTTGATAGTTATACATTATAACCTGCAGATTCACGTGCTTTTACATGTAGATGATAGAACAGCTGTGTGGGGTATTTGAGAAATAACAAATTTTCTCTGTTTATCATTCCATAAGCGTTTACAACAGAAAAAAAAAACAGTTTATACGTGAACGTGTTTATATTAATTACTACATGTGCAATAGGTGACAATCTCAAGGTCTGCGGATTGCAGCAAAATTTGCTGAGAGGACTGTTTATCGATTATCAATAAACAAAAAAATATCTTAGCGAAAACTGAATTGGGATAGTGAAAATATTCAAGTTCATATTAACCTAAATTTGGAAGACGAAGATTATCGTAACATAAAACATTAATTGCTGCGTCAAAAAGTTTCGATGGCGCCAAAGATTTTTCTGGGATTATTGTTGTTGGTGACTTTAGGACAAGCAGTAAATGTTCGGCCTCATATTTTGTTCATTGTGGCAGATGATTTAGGTGGGTACTGTTACATTTATGTTTACATATTTCAATATTTAAATGTATGCAGAGATGTTGTATTGACTTATATGATTAATCACTTTCCCTCGCCGCCTCAGGTTCGAATCCCAAAAAGGGCGCGTATATCTTTTGTGTATGTTTGTTTGTTTGTTTGTGAGGTTTTTGTTGTTCCTGTTATTGTTGTTGTTGTTGTTCTAGATGTTTCTTTTTCTTTCTTCTGCTTTATTATTTACGTACTCAGTGTATTACCTTTATATTTTGACTACTTAGTGGATCAACCTAGATTCTGTCTGTAAAGAACCTGTTCTTACTTGAAGCCGCCAGTAATCTATTGATCACTATTATAATTTACTAAATAGATCATTTTACTTTGCGTTTTATGTAGGATTATCTGATTGTATTGTAATATACAATTCTTTGTTAGATTTTTTTTGGAATTTCATGTACATTGTACATATAATATATAAAATTGCATAGAAAAGCCAGGAAATGTAGCAGATATCACACGTGGCCCCCGATCCTTCAAACATAAAATCAATTATTACGTTCAATTTAACAAGTGTTATGGTTTTACTATGTTACATAATATCCTTCACTGAAAGTTATATATTATCTTCGTGTTATCTTTAAAAGTCGTAAATTATCTTACTTTAATCATTTAACGTACGATAAATGGCATGTTATAGCGGGTTAATACCTTGTTACTAACTGCCTACAAACATTATACTAATACAGTCACCTGATTAGATTTCTTGTGACCGCTATTGACCTTAATTATAAGGTCATTTATAACGAAAGCGTCCTCTATTACTGTAACATTAATTTTGTTGGTTATTGAATTAAAAAATCATATTTACACTATATAATATATACATATGCTCTAACTAATTGCTCTTTATATGTATACTCTATCATAATGGTTACAATTAAGATAAAAAAAACTTGTACTTAAGCTATCATGAATTTTTCTCTGTCATGTTGACCCCTTAAGGTGCCATCAACGGGAAAGATAAAATGGTCTGCCAAATTAATAGTACTGAAATATGCATTGTAGAATGACGTCCTTATTATGCAAATATGAAATGTATATATATATTGCTCTGTTCTATTCTATCAGTCTTGTTTAAATATAACGCAAAGTTATCAAAAAAAAAATGCAAATTTGTCAGCATTTGTATACTGCTGCACGTCTGTCGGCTTTTATTGGGAAATCATAAAGTTAATATCTAATTACACTGCTGCTAAAAAATTCATTTAACTTATCTTTTCAATTAAAGGCACATTATGCCTCAGAAATCCATATTTATAAAATTATTTAGAAATGTCAAATATGTGTTTAATAATGTTTTAATAATTGATTAAGGGTATATTAGATGTTTCACAGCTGAAGAAGGTAGCGCTGATTGTGCATTAATGTTCCCTTAATGTAGCAAAATGTAAACAATGTAGTATTTTTTACTTCCATATCGAAATACGTATTCACTGTAATTATACCAATTGCCAATTAAGCAAAAGGAGCAAAGATAATTCATCTATATAGCAAAATTGTTTTGTTTTTTTTTGTTTTTTTTGGATACCAAAAACTGAAAAGTTTTTGAGAAATAAAAATTATAGCATTTCTGTTTAAAGAACAATATATTGGACAGTATTTCGACTACTGATATGAAATATGACCGTTTATATAAAAATATACGAGGTATTTATACAGTCGTTTATTCCGTCCTATACAAATCTAATCATATATTTTAAACATTGATTAAAGTCACATAAACTGCCTATAATAGAATAAATCTTTTATATCTGTAATAATATCTTCAAGAACCGATTATTTTCAGACTGTTTGACTATTTTAATCTTGTTTCGTTCTTACATTTACTGAGTTATAAATAATTGTGATACTTATTCCAAGTTCAAGTTCAGAACTTTGTATTTATTCGATTTCAATAACGATATTTTTTTTGTTTCATTTATTTCAAAATACTTATAAGATCATACTTTTGTGTTACTTAAATAACTTGATGTTTCTAGTATAACTTATTCGCACGGGCTATGGTAGGGATGGTTGGGACGTTAGTATGTCTATATGAAGTTTTTTTACCCTGTAAGCATGAATAAAAAAAATTGAATTCGAATACAGAAATTTGAATTATTTTTTGTTCTTCAATTTACAGTTATCTCGGTATCAATCAAAATAGAAGTGTATCAAATAAAACCTGACTTTCCCATTTTTTCCAAGATTTGAAAAAAAGGTTTTGTGTAATTATATATAACAATGACTTTTTTTTGCAAAAATGATATTTGTCTTCAATGCTTTTATTGTCACAGTGTATACATTATTTATTCTTTCTTAATTTAATAAGTGTTCAGAGCCATGCTTGTGTTTTCTACATGAGTAGTTTGTATATTCTACATGAAAACATTTTCTTATATAACAAGAATATATCTCAACTGGTTGTAACATTTTTCTGTAGGTTGGAATGACGTTTCTTGGAACAACCCGGACATAATGATGCCAACTCTTGATAAATTGGCTCGAAAAGGTGTCATCCTAAACTCCTCATATACACAACCCACATGTAGTCCGTAAGTTATAAAATTAGTGTGTGTGCAAATATTTTCAATATTGATAGCTTAAATAAGTTTACTCTATGTTTCGTCTTCTAATACATTGAGTACATGAGCCCCCATTTCTGTTTTTTTTTCCTGAAGAAAAAATACTTTTTTTTGTATACAAAATTATTGTGTTTTTTTTTTCTTTTTCAAATACATGTTTGTTTCTGATTTGTTATCTAAAGACAATTAAACATAAAAAGAGCTGACTGCAAAAAAGACTAGTAAATTGTGATGTATCTTAATTAAAGACGAGTGTGTTTAGCATTTTTCAGATTTTAAAGCAAGTAACTATGGTGGCGTAAAGGGGCCATCAGAAATATTTTATGTACCACGTGCGCACGCGATAGCTACTACGTGCGAACACGATAGCTACTACGTGTGCACAAGATAGCTACTACGTGCGTACGCGATAGCTACTACGTGCGCACGTACAGGCTATAACTTGCGCAGACGAAAACTTTTACGTGCGCGCGTAATGATTGACCAACGTTTGGTCTATCGCATGTGTTGCATGTAGTACCTATTGTGTGCGCCTGTAGTACCTATCGCGCGCGCACGTAGTATCCATCGCGTGCGTGATAGATAAAATATTTCCGATGTCCCCTCTATGCAACTGTACAATTAGTTTGCTGAAAAGTGTATTAATGATTATGGATGTACTATCACATTGGAATAAAAATGTCCATTTGTTTATATAACACTATGAGAATAATTAAGAGAAACGTCAAAATTCATTAGAGGTCTGAGAAACGAGTCTATTTAATGATTTTGTTTGGCCTTAAAGATCATCGCTGACTTTTATTCAAATTATAGCATCAATATAAATAAAAAAGAAACAATATGTAAACATATTATATAAAAGAAACACGGCATGATATTTGTTATAGGTCATATTATATTTATACTACAAGAAACATATCTTCTACAGAAGTCGAACACCAGATGTATCATTTACTTGATTTATGTTTTACTTTAAACTGCAGAAACATTCCTATAGCATTACAACCCCAGCAGGAACAAATGTAAACACTTTAACAGATAAAAAAACGTTTTTGTAACAAATACAGATAACGCTATATGGGTTATCTCGACATAGCTTTGACATACAGTGTGTGCGGTATGTTCGGATCTATTTATAAATCTTGTAGCATTTTGATTACTTTGTTTGATCAATGAACTACGAGTGTGTGCTATTGTTTTCAAAGATGATAAATAATTCATTAGATAGTATCAATTATGAGCAATTAAACATGCATTATCTTGTATGAAGTTTTATTATAATAGGTTTTGATGGGTGTACAAAAATATAAACTAAATAAAAAAAAGAAAAGTAGTTCTATAATTTTTCTAATTCCATGTATTTTGGTCAATGATTCATGCTTAAGGATCTGCATGAAGCTCCTATCTCATCCCCTGTGCCACACAAGAAGAATGCCAAACCTTCTTTTCAATATATTTCTTACCCTTGATAATATTGTACAGTATGACATGTGTTTTCGCGATATTTACACCCTTATTATGATTAACAGATCTCGTGGTGCCCTAATGACAGGATATTATCCATATCACATCGGCATGCAACATGGTATTGTTAACAGATATCAACCTAAGTTTATGCCAAAAGACAAAGAGACGCTACCGGAAGCACTGAAGAAAGTTGGTTATGCGACACATATGGTAGGAAAGTAAGTATATGATGTAATATTATTCATATTTTAATCAAACCATTGAAGTACATTTTGTACACATGGACTGGTTATTGATGTCAATACATCTGTACTGCCCTAAAAGCAGGTATTTGGAAACATTATCAAATGTGTATGCTGACATGAGCTGTAGATTGCCAGAGAAAATGGCACTACTGTTATAACTATAGTCAAGCAATTTCACGATCCCGAGACCAGGAATGACTTCAACTGACATCTAAGTACCTTCTCAAAAGATGGGTTAAATAAAAACATAAAACGAGATGAGTACACATATATAATTGCAATTTATTTATAACATAATACGTATATAAATGTTATGTTATGAACATTTATATATAAGATCGTGTGTGTAATAAAATATTAAGATTTATGTTATTAAATAAAATAACATATACAGGGATGTTTTTTCTTCTTCTGTTTTTCTCCGTTGATTTGGGTGTGTTGTTGTGGGTGCTAAATCACAGGATTTTCGTTAAAATTATTTAATTCTTTTACTGAATGTCCAAAATACTACTTATGCTGCTAGTGTTGTTGTTGTTGTTGTTGCTGCTACTGTTGCTTCTGTCGCCGCCGCAACTACTACTACTATTACTACCACTTTTCCTACTACTGCTGCTGCTGCTATTGATGATGATGATGATAATGATGACAATGAAGCTGCTGTTGATGATAATATGATGATAATAAAGATGACCACGATGATGATATTATAAGAAAACGAGTATCAGTAGAATACAATATTTTCATTACCTGCAACGTTTACGTTTTCCTTCTTTTATGATATAACCCTTTATTATTTTATTCTCTACTACATGGTTTCAGGTGGCATTTGGGATTTTGTAATTGGAATTATACACCGACGTATCGAGGGTTTGACAGTTTCTATGGGTTCTACTCCGGGGCCCAGGATTACTACACGCATAAACATTGTAAGTTTATTGAAAACATGTTTAAGAATTATTTCCTTCGGTACATACATGTACTTCATTTGTGGTTGCTATAGTTTTTGTCAGCTTATCAAATCTTTTTCAAGTGCTATACTAAAATGTTTTACTTTAATATTAAAATTAGATCATGTATTGAGATTTCTTGAGAGATAGTGAAAAGAATAAGGCCATTGTCTTATAAGCTTTTTTATCTGTCATCACACATGTAATTACACATGTGCTTGAGTTAAATGTTTACATACCTCCCTATTCTTTAACTAATGTTAATTGCTTTTAATACAAATAAAAAGTGCTTTATTTCATCAGGTATATAATAGTTCAATTGTCTTTCATACTTCTTTGGTCTGTCTGTTTTTTTGTTGTTGTTGTTGTTTTTGTTGGGTTTTTTTTTATTAAAAACAAAATACCAGGAATAAAAGATTTTTTTTTACTTACATCTTGTTTAAATATAATACTGATTCATTTACAGATGGTGGTTTTGATTTCCGTTTCAACAAGAGCGTTCATCATCCTCCAAAAATGCGATATTCTACGGTATGTTAACAATAAATATGTAGTTTTAATTTCGTTATAATTAACATGCCGGATTTAAAAAAAAAACTCCTGAAATAAGGAAAAAGAAATTTTCCTTTAGTCATTTAAATTGCAAGGTACTTTCTTATGCGACTTTTTAGCATAAACGTAACCACCTGTTTAATTATTTCGGTTAATTTAACCTTAATCTTCGGTCACCTTTGTCGGTGACATGTGTACCCACACACCCAATAGTTCATATTTAATTTACATGCGAACATGGTAAATATATACAAGATAAGCAGGTGTTCCTATTTAGGTTAAAATGACATTTGGTCTGGTTTTAAGACATACGATAAATCCGTGTTTGTTTCTTTATTTTTTTTTATTTTTTTATTTTTTTTTATTTTTTTTTTTGTTTTTGTTTTTGTTGTTGTTGTTTTGTTGTTGTTTTTTTGGGGGGTGGAGGGGGTGGAAGGATTGTTGCTGTTGTTTTCGTTTGATTTTTTGTTTAGTGTATGGATAAGGTCACCGGTTCTTATTATTGCATGTCTCCAGTACATGTAGAATATTATACATGTCGTCGGTCGGTCCAGTCCATACATTAGACCTTGTCCAACTATTAACTAAAGAACCATTGGCTTAAGGATTAGACCTGTTATATGGAAGTTAACCATTTCTACTTAATGTGCCCTTCTCTGTTTGTAGAATGTCAAGGTCACTGGGATGTTGACAAAAACGATTATCCGATCAATTACTAGAGAAAACTTTGGCCTACATGTGGTCGTGAGTTTGGTTATGATAAGTAAATGTACTCGTAACTTAACCATGAAGGGCTGGGGTCATACATGTTTGACAAACATTCCTAAATTAAGTTCGAAGTGTACAACTATGTAACACCATTGACCTATTGTTAGCATGTTACAATGGTACTGTTAAAAAATTATTATTTCGCACTTTGGTTTTGACGTCCTAAATGTTAATATTGTATTTAGTGACACGTTCCTTTTCCAAACAAAATATTGATTATTTCATTCGCAAAAAAAAAAATGTTCAAGTTTGACTGTATATGACATACCGTCCAGCTTTGTGTGCGTGTGAATGCTTGCGTGCGGGCAAGCGCGTATGCGTGAGTACGTGCGTGTATGTGTGCCTTTTAGACAAGAGTATTTGTATGATTATATGATAAATTATCTCAAAACACGCTATACCTAAGACCCTAATTCCATCATGATATTAAGTAAGGTTGTAATATGAATGGGTAGAAAATTATTTTCCCTCGCATATATATATAAAGTATCTGTTAAGGGATGGGGGTATAATTTTGCAAGGGATTTAAGTTTGGTTATAAAGTGGAGTAGTCATTCGGCTGAATCGAAATGATAAATCTCGTTTGAACGTTAATAATTTCCACTCCGTTATGATTTTGTAAATTATACATATCCTTAGTACCTTTGTATAATAATTATGTGAGTTCCTTAATTTCAAAATCCTTTTCTGTGTTTATGGAAAGAATGTTTAACGGCTGATGATTTTTGTTGGTAAAAATTATTTCTCTGAAGTTAGACAATGACAACATGACTCACTAGCGCAGAATGAGCTGTTTTTAAATTATGGATTACACTAGAGTGGCAATCTTTAATGCACTTTAACATTGATTTATCCTTAATTTCCGTGCAAGGTTTAATGTGAAATATATTGGTGTAAAGAGGCTACAAAGAAAACCGCGTCGACATTGTTCAAATTTATGCGCAAATAAATAAATTTTCACTTAAGGCTTTTGGTTACCCTCTCGGAAAATTTAACTGCTAATAACAGTTTTTTCCACTTGTAATATACAATGTTATGTTATATGATAACACCTCCACCTTTCTCTTAGATAATCTCCTTAGAGGTGAACATTTTGAAAACTGTTCTGAAAACATAGTTTTAGAATTATAAATTCGGGCAACATTAGAATTTTCTAAACAAAACCTATATGTAGATTTTCAATATAGATTCATGTATCTATATTGCAGGCGTTGTTTGGTAGACGAGCAGCCGACATTATTTTACAGCATGATCCAGATAATCAACCATTGTACCTACAGTTGTCATTCCAGGGCGTTCATACACCATTGCAGGTCATACAGTAATATATTATTTCTTTCGTATGGAAATTTTTTATTGTCACATTTAGTTTATACAAATAATTATCATATTCGAGTGTTAAGGAAACTATAGATCCAACCAGTACAAAGCAATGATTGTAAAGTTTCTTATTCAAAGAACTAACGGCTTCCCTTTTATATGGTTTGAGACTACACACTCGGCAATCCTTAGAACAGTTTAACACACATATCGTCACATGTCTTAAATGTTTCCTGCAAGCAAACAGATAACCACATAGACCATTGGCGTAAATACAAAAATAACACGAGTTTCTTTCAAACAAAGCAGCAAAAGAAATCTTGAATCAGTAATTCTTGTTTTATCTTAGTTACGGAAAACTCCTTTGTGCTAATGCCAGCTTTAATACATTTTGAACTTTTACCAATCAAATTACAACCTCTATACATTTTCAGGTTCCAAAGAAGTATTCGAACCAATATTCCCATATCAAGAACAGAAATCGAAGATTATATAGCGGTAAGTTGATAATTATATATCTTCAAAATATTTTTCCACAGAGAAATACCCCGAAACTAACCTATCGCATACTGATTAGATAGATCTACCATTACTTTGCGCTCTTGATTTCAAATAATGAAATATTTAATTATATGCAATATAATTAAAATCAGCTCCTAAATTACGCTATGCATTAGGATATAACATTCACCCTTCTCGTGGTCTTTCAAACAACCAATCATAGGCGAGCTTTCATTATTTTGAAAGCGATCCTGAGTGGGTAATTTTCACGAATTTCGAGACAAACATGACGTTTTCCGACAGGAAAACTGGCAAAACAATCTTGCCCATTAAAAATTGACTTTATTGATATAGTTAATTTGTTAAAAGTTACTTCAAACATTTCTTTTGTAACAAAATTCAACCATTAGTTTATCTTCCACGGATATCGGTATTTTGATAATTCTCCCAAAACCGGTTTGATTGCATGGCTGCAAACAGCTTTCTCGGAAATTCGAAATATAAAGAAGGCGAGTCATCAGATCTACATGGAAGAAATAAGTAGATCTGAACTTTAGTCAGATTGTGTTATACATGTATCTTAATTCAAGTTAATTGAACGGATATATGACTTGTTATTCTTAGTAAAACCATTGTGCCGTGTGAATAGTTCGTGGAAAGAAATTGAAATATTAAATTTCGATCAGAAAATACTTAACGAGTAATTCTTGGCTACAGTAGCACACTTGTTTTCATAAAGTAATTTTGCTCAAGTGCAAAATAGTCTATCCTACATCTATTATTGTATTATGTTATCATAAAAAAAATGTTCACATTGTATTATGTTATCATATAGACATGTTTAGCATTGTAAAGAGTTATCATATAGACATGTCTGTCATTGTATGTCTATCATTATATGTCTATCATTGTATTATGTTATCATATAGAGATGTCTATCATTGTATTATGTTATCATATTGACATGTCTATCATTGTATTATGTTATCATATTGACATGTCTAGCATTGTAAAGAGATATCATATAGACATGTCTATCATTGTATTATGTTATCATTTTGACATGTCTAGCATTGTAAAGAGTTATCATATAGACATGTCTATCATTGTATGTATATCATTGTATTATGTTATCATATGTCTATCATTGTATTATGATATCATATAGACATATCTATCATTGTATTATGTTATCATATAGACAAGTCTATCATTGTATTATGTTATTATTAAGACATGTCTATCCTTTTATTACAACAGGAATGATAACAGCTATGGACGATGCAGTCAGTCTTGTCATGCGAGCCTTCCAGAAGAAAAGTTACATGGACAACCTTCTTGTAGTCTTCACATCTGACGTAAGTGTTGAAAAAAATCAGTTTGACATAAGATGACACATACCACTGACGATAACGTATCAGTTATAACTGGGGGTGTCCGTAGCCGAGTGGTTACGGTCGTTGGGTCGTTGACTTCAAACCACTTGCCCCTCCCCGCTGTGGGTTTGGATCGCGACAGGATCTTTGGATTCTTTCATGTGAGGAAGATATCAAGCTAGCTTACTTCTAATCAGGTGCCCGTTCGTGCCTGAAATAATGCACGGGCCTTCCTCCACAAGTAAAGTTGGAACGTCGCCATGTGACCTATAATGTGTCACACACAAACGATCAGTTGTAACTACAGTTATGAAAATTGCAGGGTTGCATATTATTTAGAATATAAGTATACATGTACTTCGAGCGAAGGGAACGAAGGGATGCATTCGCGTGATCCTAAATCGAGCGAACGACGTTTTACCATATTCATTTATATGACTGATATTATCATGTCTCAGATATCTACATATCATTCTTGTAAATAAATTCATTTTTGTGCAGTTTGCCAAACAAATATAAATATGTGTTGAACTATTCACTTTCAGAATGGCGGAGCGTCTTACATCGCTGGTTCCAATTGGCCTCTACGTGGTTCTAAGAATACTTTATGGGAAGGGGGAACCAGAGTCCCTACTTTTATATACAGTAAAAGCCTACTCAAGAAGACGGGAGTAACTCAATCAGGGTATGTTACAATAATAAAACACGATAGATGTCTTTCTAGCAGCTTTATGTTATTTAATTAAACTGCAAAGAAAGAAAAAGTATGGTATTAAATAAAAACTAAAGGTGACACAAAAGCAGTTTCAATAACATGTTAGTGTAACTCAAAGAAAATACATATTTAAACCATTAACTTGCTGCAAACTAAATTGATAGGCCATTGCCTTCGATAAAAAGTCTGGGTGATAGGTCATTGCCTTCGATAAAAAGTCTGGTCAGCATTTTCATGCAGTTTGACCAAATTCCATACCGGTGGCTGACTACCTTTAAATTTTTTAATTTTCATCTGAATATCCCCTTAACTGGTGACTAACAGTTCCAAAAAAAGAGGCTGGACATGTATATTTAACATTAGTTAAAGGGTTATTATGTTCTCTTTTCAGGTTGGTACACGTGACTGACTGGTTCCCAACACTTGTACGACTTGCTGGCGGTGAAACAAGTAATTTATTTTTTTCTTTTAATTCAATTTCTTTCTCTTTTGGTTAAAAGCATATCCAGTTGCTAATGTCAATCTATCACCAAAAAAAAATATGTAAAAACTATGATTATATTCTGAATCTTAAATTGGTTCTTGAGTATGGGATTATATAGTTCTTCTGAAGTATTCTCTGAAAGTACATGCCTGTCGATGACTTTAAAACAAACATCAATCTCTTCATTAGTACTGACTACATTTTATGTACATTATGTTTTTGTTAGGTCCGTTCCTGGATGGGGTAGATCAATGGCTAGCATTAAGCAGAGGGTGGCCATCACCAAGACACGAGTTTGTGTACAATATAGATGAAGTCAAACGAACTGGAGCATTAAGGTAGGCTAAGTATGTTTATTATGTTCTAATAAGAAAGAAGTTTATATCTTAAGATAGATTTTCTTATTTGTTTTCTCTTTCTTCCAAGTTAAACAATTACGATTTTCATTGCATATGTTAATGTATAAATAACGAACAACCAATTTATTGTATGTATCATTCATTGAAAGTACAGTTTGAGAAACTGTTGGAAATTTATTCGTGGAAAGTAACTAATATGATGGTTTTTGAATGAATTAAGTACTTCACAAACGGCTGTAGAATGAGGAATGACATGTCACTCTTGATTTCATACAATGAAATATTTAGTAATATCTTAATTCAAGTAAAGTGTTCCAAGTGCTTGAGCGGAGATATGACGTGTAATTCTTTGTAAAACCATTGTGCCGTATATGATGGTGATGTGTATAATTCGTGGAAAGAAATTGAATTAATAAGTTTCGATCAAATAAATACTTAATGAGTAACTCTTGACTACAATAACACACTTCACAAAGTCATTTTGTTCAAGTGAATAGGAATCGATGAGTGAAATACCTCGTTTAAAATTCTCCTTAAAGTATTTGTGTGAAATTCAGGGAACGATAATGACATGGTTATTTTCAAATAACGCTGTGGTTTTAAAGTGACTAAAATAATGAATTTCTAGAAACACTTCATGTCGTCTGCTTCAGTTATAGTCTATTTCATTAGTCATTAAAAGTTGCCAGTACATACAAAATATTTCTAAGAAGAAATTCTTCGTGCGCGCAGTATGCTAAACTAATATCTTGATAAAATTAAGATTTCAGCCAACAAAACAAATCATTTCCTAATTTTTATCAGTTTTTTGTTCGCACTCGCTTTAGTTACATTTAAATATGATCAGACGTCAGCAGGCGAAAATCGTTCATACTGACAAACATATACAAAATAATGTAACTGAAAGAATTACACCCTATTACACATGATTTATCTTCAACGTTTCGATCGGGTGAAGCAGGGTAAACGTCCAACAATCACAATTTTTTTACAATTATCAGAGTAACTCCTCAAATTTGTGGAGATAAATGTAGTGTATAATTGATAGATAAGATTTGAAATTAAAAATTATCCAAAGTTCCTGGTGGTATTTGAACCAACAACGGCTAAGGACAAGTGATTCGAAGATTACGACTGTGATCACTTTGGTACGGAAGTTCGCTTCACAGCCAGTGATATTGTATCTCATAATGCCAAAATCTGTGTAATTTTACGTTATATCTTATTTCACAGGTCGGGAGACTATAAACTAATTGTAGGCAGTCCTGGTCGGTATAACAACTGGTACCAGGCGAAGACAAAACCTGCGTGTAACTCTAAAGAGGCTCGACAAGGCTATATGTATGAAGAAAAACAATTAAAACTAGCTGAGAAATTAGATCGTCAAGAACAAAAATCCGTCAACGGGTGGTGGTTTACATCGCCTCTTCAATATATAAAAGGTCGGTACAGTTGATGAACTAACGTTTATATTTACTCCATTTAATAAAAGTGTTATATCACATTTTTGCAACCAATATGAATCACTAGGCCTTAAATTGGGAACTGGAATTATATCCTAAAACTCAACGAAAGTAATGAGTTCGTAATACAAATACATAAAGGTTCCTTTCCCAAATATGTTAAATAGTATCAAGGCCATGATGAATTTTCATGAAAATTGATCATTTGTCCTTGAAGGTAAATGTCACTTATGGGTTAATTTAATTCTTCAATACATCAAAATCAAGCTCTCACCATGTTATTTATTTCAGCAAATAGGATGAACATGTTAAAATTGCCAACAATAACGAGAATACTTTAGACATTTACCTTTTTGTCATTTGTTTCATGCCTTATATTTACTCTAAGTGTTCATAATTCAAGGTTTTGCCAACAAAGCGGCGGCAGTATCTGGGGCATCATCAGCCTGGCGGTCAATGTCCAAATGGTACGAACAATATAGATGTGATAGATTTATGTCAGCTCATGCGAGGGAAGAGAAGAGGTTGAAGCCACCTGCTATACAACTGTTTAATATCAAAGGTAAATACTAGGACCGGGAACGCATAAGGAAAATTGGTATTCTAATATTCGTTTTCCATGTTCGAATTTATTCGAATAATCGTTTTCCAATATTTCTTTTTTAAGTAGTATCCGAAATTTATTAGGTCGAATACTATACTACTTTGATAAGTTTTGAATTATCGAAAGAAATTTCTTTTCATTCTTTTCTATACCTTTTGCATTTGCGTGTTGCAATTATAGTATAATATATCATATTTCAGATTACAAAGACAAAAGTAAACTTTTACCTATTTAACACACTGATGTGATAAAAAAGATAAGTAAAAATCCTATCATTATAAAGTAAGTCATGTTTATATTGTCAATTTTAGATGATCCTGAAGAAAGATTTAATCTCGCAAACAAGAAGCCGGTGTTGCTGAAGAAACTGATGAGAAAACTCAAGGCGCACAAGAAGACATTAGTGAAGGCTCAGAATCAACCGCACACCAAGCTAGCACATCCCAAACATTATGATAATATATGGTCACCTGGCTGGTGTTGAAATAGCCCAGGATGATTTGTTAATGATGATCTCTTTTACCGTACATTTAGGCAGCTTGTTTAATAATTGCTTATGCTTACAATACAATGATATTTACAGAATATTCACATTGACATAAGCGATGCTTATAGGAAGAAGGAAATATATAGTGATAGAGGATGTCTCCAAATATATGTAAGTTTATCTATGTTGAAAGCCAGGTTTTGACTTGGAAAGAACTGTCATTGTATGACAAATCTGATTGTATAGGGTATGACGGAACAGGGTTTTCTGCTTTATTTTTTAAATGTGCACTTTAAAGAGACTTGAATGTTTTGTCTTTTATAGTGTGTGTGTGTTCGTATGACAGAAAGCAACAGGTTTGTTTGTGTGTGTGTTTTAGGGAACTAATTTTAGAATTAGTTAGTGTATTGTCTGAAGTTTATTTTCTCACAACAGAAATGATGTCACAAAATGTCATGTGACAGCGAAATAACACTCTGTCATCAATCATTTATAGATAGCAATAGTAGCATTTAAACACATATATGAAGTGAATTATTTAAAGGTCAGAATAAGTATACGTGTTTTTATTTAAAGACCAGTGCTCTTACCGGTGAATTTTGTAGTCATGACGATGAGCTGACTGTAAGCTCGAGGTGGTTTTGTTTGTCATTTTGTATTATGAACGTTATTCATTTATTAAAAATATATACATTTTTGCTTTATCTGATTCAATATTGTTTAGAGACGACAACGATATTTCAGTGATGAAGTATATTTTTACCTAACACAGTAAGGAGTTGAGAATGTACATGTATACATGTATCATCAGTTTTTTTTCTTTTATAGAAAAATATGTTTAAAGTCAATAAAATGAATTTTGACTGGAGATATGTTTTGTTTTAACTGAAATAAATTATTGTTATATACGCATAACAAAGTCTCATTACAATACGTTCAACTAACCACTTCTTGATATAATTATTCAATGAAAGGCCATGGAAAGCCTTAAATTTTAGCGATATAAAACGAGCGTTGGCCTACATCGCTGTACATCCAAACTTTAATTATAACGGCAAAGATAATAATAATGACGACGACGATGATGACGGTGATGACGACGATGATGATGATGACATCGACGACCTTATATAAAACAGTTGAAAATCATCAATGTATAGAGCGAAAATATTGCAGTATACTATACGTTCTATAGGAATACAATTTATAAACACAAAAATGTGATTGAAAATGTTCGTTAGTTGTATAACAAAATAAAGGATATTACATTGTTCAACAATTTATTAATAGATTAAAAGAGAACGTCATAAATTTTGGTGTTTAGTGAGTTTGTAAAAGAAGTACTAAAAGTATTTTGACTATTTTCCTGCTGATAGCTTTTAAACCAGTATGTATGTAACGATTATTGTACTAATATTGCACCAAATAGCACCGAAACAACGTTAACAGTAAGGGTTTTAAACTTATGGTCCACATTCCTTATTTTCTGGTATCGACGGGAGCTCACCACTTGACCGATGTCGCTTTCGTCCAATATTTTCTGTAAAAAAACAACAGTAAAAGTTGAAATAAAATCACAATGCTTGTTATTATAATGCGGCATAACAGTCCTGTCAAATATCGATAGAGTAAGCTCCCTTGAAATTTATAATGCCGAACAAGTTGGTCGAAATACATATTTCATGTGATGGTTAAAAAAATACAAATGTATTCCTCTACATTAATACTTGTAAAAAGTTGTATATATTTACATGGAGCTAAATATAAGATGTATGTATATCTGTGATATTTATAATTTAACATTTCGCGCATTTCGTTAAAATATTATTGATTACATATTATAACAGTTAATTTTGAGAGAGGGTAGTCATTTAAGAAACCTCACAAAAAGATATAAACAACCTAAGAGTTTTGTGACAGAATTCGCAATGCATATAAACATTTGTTCGATCTGAATACCTTATTTTCCTTTACTTCATCTACCCCTGTTTAGTTTAAGACTAGCATTCAGAACATGGAATGTTTGTAGACTCTACACTTGCAATGAGTTGGTGTGTAATATTATTTTAATTTGACTTATTATGAGAATTACATATCATGATGATCGCTAAAATGAAGCAATTACCTTCTTGTACATGGCTATGAATTGTCATGAAAAGTATTTCTCCGTATTTAACACTTATTCCTTTAAAATCCTCAAGTGTCATTGAAACAAGATCAGTTCCAGAATGGCGGGAAAATATGTCTACAAGTAATTTCCGGTCACGTGTGTCTATGTTATATTCATTTGCCGCGCTTTTTATCCAATCATGAACTTCGATACAACTCCAGTGTTGTAGCTGCAGTGATTTCCAGAGTGGAGACGTGTGATAACTTGTACCTGCACCAGAGGTCAGATCGTCAAGTAAACGACTTATCTTAGCTGCATAAACGCTTGACCTTTCTGTGAGAAAATAGAAAATACAGAAAAATATTAACGTGAATGTTCGAGACCAATGCTAAGAAACAGCACATCATCATCACAAAGTGTTGATCTAGACTTACAAATTTTGTTGATGTTGTTGTCGTTGTAATGGTTGATTGCTTTATGTTGTTGTTGGGTTGTTTGTTGTTTTTTTTGGAGGGGGGTATTGTTGTTGGTGTTTGTTTGTGTGGGTTTTTTTTTCTTTTGTTGTTTTTTTTTTTCTTTTTTTTTTTGTTGTTGTTTTTGTTTGTATTTTTTCAATTCCTTCAAACTCCTGATTTAATCAGGATAGACTCAACACATTTTATGAGACTGAAAAAACTGTCGGAACTTCTACAACCGGCTCAATTTTAATCTTGGTTTAGAATTTGTGTGTAACATTACAAATCATTAAACTAACTGGATAGAAATAAGTGCAGATTTCAATTACTCAAGTTATTAATGTGAATGAGTCTGTAATGGAAGGTCTGTAATACAATGAATAATTAAGTTGAAAATATTTAGTTTTAGACATAACAACAAACCACTTAAAAACTTGTTGGAATATTGAGATACATGATACGATATAACATAGAGTCTATATTATTTTATATTAGATAATAGAATGTTCTAGAACAAAATATTCATCATATAAATGTTCAGAACAATTTTTCAACATATTTTTTAAACAACTTTACATAAGAATATCCAAATGATACATTTCTATTGCTTTGAACAATATTTGAAAATAATATAGAAAAATGTGCCCATGGTAGACCTATCCACTTTAGATTTGTAAAAAAGTTTTAAAAACACAATTCTTGAAAATGTGCCATATAACTTTAAAACAGCACGCCTCCAGATTCATGCTAATTTTCATGAAAATTTGAAAATGTCTTAAAAAAGTATAATTTTGTAAAGTTACCAAAAGACTGCAATTTACACATTATCAATGGCATTTACAACACATGTAAGTTACCAAAAAGAGGTCAAAATAAATGTACAAAACATCAAATGCGTAGTAATTGAAAGTAGAAATAAAAGTTATAAATGCTGAAAAATATCATGAATCGAACTGGGAAAAAATATTATAGCATTTTTGAATTCATTTTATCTTTTTCTAAAACTTAATAATTGTTCTTTCCCGTTTGATTTATTGAATTTTTTGCTCATTGGAGGGTGCATTTAATGTGCATGCAACAAAAATAAGGGAGGTAACTTGAAAATAAATATTTCCCGTGATGATGTATTATCTCCCCTGTTTGAACTTGTACAAAATATTTATGGCGTTCGAAGTGTTTGTTTAATAAAACATACGAGTAATGATTAGATATATTCATGTTCTAAAAAACTGGGGATAAAGATGTATACGGAAATTAAATTTATATTAGATTTATATTAGATTTAGATTTATATGGACAACAAATCTCAAAAAAAGGTTTCTTAAAATATATTTATATTTTAAAAAATACATGTTGGTCAAAAGATAAAATATACATATTTGACTATAAAAATGTATATGAACATTAATTGCACAAACTAAAAACGTATCTGTTATTGTTGTCGTCTTGGACTACTGTTGGATGAATGCACTGTTCTCATCAACACATGTACATATTCTTTATAGAGTGTTCAATCAGAGGCACGAACAACATACAAAAATCCACTACTGCACATAATAGATGATATCTAATGTCCATAAAATTAGTAGGGTGGTGAAGTAGGTTGACTAGACAATTATATACATGCACAACATACTGAGGGAATCAAAAAGGTGGACTTGGGTACAGAAGAGAATATACTTTAAGGAATCGAATAGATTTCCTAGGGCATCCTATTGATGTACACACATGGAATATTCTTTTTGTAACATACAAGAAAGAATAGAATATATTAACTAGGCGATCATATAGATGTACAATAGGGAATACTTGTACATAGTACATAATCATAATCATACATAGTGTGATAATACATTGCAATACATTACAATACATTTTCAATACTAATTTCGAATGCATTAAAACAAACTTTAAAGACAATGTCACGTTACTTTAGTTATTATTCTAGAATGTTATTTCAAATTAACAAAAATTGATATTATAGTGTTGAGGATAAACTGTTTTATCATAATTAAATATACATGTTTACATAGCAGACATATCTTCAGAAAAAATTTATACATAAAAATGTTGAACGGAATTTATATATTCTTTAATAAAGACATATATAAATCAAATTTATCTGACAGAATTAACAATAGTATTTCTGTAATTTAATGACTCTTTTATATATTTTGCCAGGTTAAATAATATATTCTTTTGATTGCTACATAGTAGTCCAATAAACTTTATCATGGAAGGCCTTTTATAGTAGTATTTTTTAATAAATTTTCTTCTAATTTCTAAGAAACATGGGCATATCAATATAAAATGGCATTCGTCCTCTATATCAACATTGTTACAGCAAAGACAATATCTTTCATTACGTGACAATCTATTTTGACCATACCTTCATGTTTGAATTCTCAGTGAATGAGCTGACATTCTCATTCTTGTAATAAAAAAAACTATAGTGTTTTGGTAAAATATCTAAGTAATTTTCATAAAATTATAATAGTGTTGTTTTACAACTTTTATAAAGATCCAAACTGTTTTCAATCGCTGTATTCCATTCTTGTCTATAATTATCTAACAGTCTTTGTTTAAACAATCTTGGAAAAATTTTACAATCAACTTTATTAATATTAACAAAATAATCGGAAAACCCATACATATCAAGCATATTCTTAACATCAGTAATCCAATTATTACAACCTTTATGACAATCGTATACACTTTGTTCATAAACCTTCTGCAAGATAATATTATCTGTAATAGATTTACTAGGGGATCATTTAGATGTACAATAGGGAATATACTTTGAAACATATAAAAGGGAATAGAATAGATTTACTAGAGGGTCATTTAGATGTACAATAGGGAATATGCTTTGCAACATATTAGAGGGAATAATAGATTTACTAGGGGATCATATAGATGTGCAATAGGGAATATGCTTTGTAACATATTAGAGGGAATAATAGATTTACTAGAGGGTCATTTAGATGTACAATAGGGAATATGCTTTGTAACATATTAGAGAGAATAATAGATTTACTAGAGGGTCATGTAGATGCACAATAGGGAATATGCTTTGTAACATATTTGAGGGAATAGCATAGATTTACTAGAGGGTCATGTAGATGAACAATAGGGAATATGCTTTGTAACATATTAGAGGGAATAATAGATTTACTAGGGGATCATATAGATGCACAATAGGGAATATACTTTGAAACATATTAGAGGGAATAATAGATTTACTAGGGGATCATTTAGATGTACAATAGGGAATATACTTTGTAACATATTAGAGGGAATAATAGATTTACTAGGGGATCATATAGATGTACAATAGGGAATATACTTTGAAACATATTAGAGGGAATAATAGATTTACTAGGGGATCATATAGATGTACAATAGGGAATATACTTTGTAACATATTAGAGGGAATAATAAATTTACTAGGGGATCATATAGATGTACAATAGGGAATATACTTTGTTACATATTAGAGGGAATAATAGATTTACTAGGATATCATTTAGATGTACAACAAGAAATTACTTTATTACATATAGAGAAGATAGAATAGATTTACTAGGGGCTAATATAGATTTAGTAGGTGATCATATAGATTTACTTGGGGATCGTATAGATTTACTAGAGGATCATATAGATTTAATAGTGGGGGTACACGATGTACAACAGGGAATATACTTTGAAAGCTATTAAAGGGAATAGCATAAATTAACTAGGGGATCATACAAATTTACAGAAGAGAATATACTATAAAATATATACTATATAGAATGTACTTTATAATGGATACAATGGGGCAGATAGGGATGTATAGCGGGGAATATACATCGAAGGATCAGATAAATGTACAACAGAGCATATCATAGGGGTTCGTATGGGTGTAATAGGGGGCTCTTTAATGATCATCTAGTACAACCATTTGATACATTCTAATATGAATGTTTGATATTCCCTTCTCTGATCAATATAACCCCAGGTCATTTAATATCCCCTCTTGTATGTTTGATAGTATATTCTCTACTGTATGTTTATATTATTCCCTTGTCCATCCATCTGTTTCTCTCTATATGTTAGTATATTCTCTGTTATACATTCAATTCTTTCATGGTACAATCTTGAATTTTCTATGTTGTTTATATATCTGAATGAACATATAGTCCTCCTGGGTTTTATAAAGATTATGTGCATATTGATTCCATTCATCCATCCATTCATTCATCCATTCATCCATTCATTCATCCATCCATTCATTCATCCATCCATTCATTCATCCATTCATCCATTCATTCATTCATTCATCCATCCATTCATTCATCCATCCATTCATTCATTCATTCATTCATTCATTCATTCATTCATTCATTCATTCATTCATTCATTCATTCATTCATTCATTCATTCATTCATTCATTCATTCATTCATTCATTCATCCATCCATCCATCCATCCATCCATCCATCCATCCATCCATCCATCCATCCATCCATTCATTCATTCATTCATTCATTCATTCATTCATTCATTCATTCATTCATTCATTCATTCATTCATTCATTCATTCATTCATTCATTCATTCATCCATCCATCCATCCATTCATTCATTCATTCATTCATTCATTCATTCATTCATTCATTCATTCATTCATTCATTCATTCATTCATTCATTCATTCATTCATTCATCATTCATTCATTCATTCATTCATTCATTCATTCATTCATTCATTCATCCATCCATCCATCCATCCATCCATTCATTCATTTCATTCATTCATTCATTCATTCATTCATTCATTCATTCATTCATTCATTCATTCATTCATTCATCCATTCATTCATTCATTCATTCATTCATTCATTCATTCATTCATTCATTCATTCATTCATCTATTCATTCATGTATTCATTCATTCATTCATTCATTCATTCATTCATTCATTCATTCATTCATTCATTCATTCATCCATCATTCATTCATTCATCCATCCATTCATTCATTCATTCATTCATTCATTCATTCATTCATTCATTCATTCATTCATCCATTCATCCATCCATCCATTCATTCATTCATTCATCCATTCATTCATTCATCCATTCATTCATTCATTCATTCATTCATTCATTCATTCATCCATCCATCCATCCATTCATTCATTCATTCATTCATTCATTCATTCATTCATTCATTCATTCATTCATTCATTCATTCATTCATTCATTCATTCATTCATTCATTCATCCATCCATTCATTCATCCATCCATTCATTCATTCATTCATCCATCCATCCATCCATCCATTCATTCATTCATTCATTCATTCATTCATTCATCACTTACAACAACAGTCACAAGTCTGACGATCCCATTTTATTTAGGTTGTCCAACAATTCAAATTATTCTCCAAATATAGATTTGTTATAATCGATTCTTGTGTTTATTTATTAAATTGTTATTTATAAATTATTTATTTATTATTATTATTATTATTATTATTATTATTATTATTATTATTATTATTATTATTATTATTATACAATAAGGTAAAGCTGGGGGAAATCAGTCAAGAGTAGGTACTGGTAAGGGCGGACAATCTGACTTTCTACAGTCCTATAATTATGTAAAATTACCTTTATAGTGTGGGGCTACATCCAGTATTTGCTGTAAGGCTGTAAATATAATCTCTCCAATATCTCCAAACTGAATCCGAAAATCTGGTAGCAACATTGCAAGCAGTCGTTTGCCGGTGTACCCGTGCAGTGACCCCGTTATCCTGGCTCGCAAATGCTCTGGAAAGTTGTATTTATTACACGTGAACGCCATCCATTCTTGAACAGAGGAAGTTGACCAGTTTTCCGGATGTTGACGGCTCCATAGCGTCTCGGGTGCGCCTACAGTTTCAGAAGTAAATTTTGTTATACTCAATATAAAAGGGAACACTTTCATTTTTAAGTTTTTAAGTAGTATGCCTCCGTTCATACATCAACAATTATCTGCTACCAAAGTTTAATGACTGCCACTTGTAGTAGTGCCCCCTACTTAAATCAAGTACTTTACAAAAATACGGAAATACAAAAATCAAGTTACAAATACGGAAATAATAAAATAATAAAACAAAAGAAAGGATATACAGTTTCTGGTATTTAATGTACCTGGTCAGAGTCTTTTAAACCATGTGATGTGTTTAAGTTTTTTTTTTTGTTTTTTTTTTAAATGAATTCTTTTTAAATGAATTTTTCAGACAAGTTGTTTATTTCAGTCCGTGTTTATCAGACCTCATGTATTAAACTTAATTACTGTTACCATAGCTGTATACGTTAATGTAAATGCAACAACATTTAGTTATTCTAGATACAAAGCATTTTTTTGTGTTTGTCACAAAGTCATCGGTAGTTACATAACGAGTTTAAGTAAATATTGTTAAACAGTATGAAATATTACGTATTAAATACATATTGTTTCTCATTATTTCATTATATTATTTTACAAAAATTAAGAAAAATGATTTACCTGCCGCCAGTTTTAAATATCAAAATAATTTTACGATGTTAATATTTTAAACGATTTTAAACGATTAAGTTATGATATCGGGGTTAAGATTTTTACATGATTTCTCCCTTTTTTAGACGGGAAGTTAAGGGTGGTATTTTAAAACGAATCGATTGGACGATTTGCTAAAGTCTGTTCCTGTTCAATAAACGTACACATCTCATATTTCCGTAAATACGACATTAGGTTGATTCGTATACAAAAATACTATAAATAGAAAGAAATCCCCTCGACAAATAAAGTATGGTGTCCTAGTAAGGTCTTAATGAAATAAATAGTTTCATACATATTTAGGGATAATAGATACGATAATAGATACGTATATAGATTTTTTTATTATTTTATAACATCATCATCATCATCATCATACCACCACCATCATCACCCTCATCATCATCGTCGTCGTCGTCGTCGTCGTCATGACTTAAGTGTTTGAAAACACATAGACGTGAACTACAAATAGGAAACTATTTAAGACCAGCCTGCGCACCCGCGCAGTCTGATCAGGATCCATGCTGTTCGCTATCAGTTTCTTTACTTGTTATAGGGTCTGTAAGCGAACATCATTGATCCTGATCAGACTGCGCGAATACGCAGGCTGGTCTGGATCCATGCTGGTCGCAAACCCATTATGTTGGTTTTGTCGTGACGCGGCTCATTTTTGGAAGACGATATCGCCGTCCTATGCCGTCGTTGTCATTTTCATAGATCCAGCAACTACAAAACTCTAGCACATGTATGCGCGTAACAAGTTTAAGTTAATCAGAAAATGCAACTTAAAAAGATATGCACAAAGTATTCAATTTCTTTTATTCCATTTCAAAGAAAAACTTTGAAAGCTTTGTATGGGGAAATACTTCAATACTCAATAGAGTAGCGTCACGTGACTAAATAACATATCTTAATTTAGGGATTGCTGAATAACTTAATCCGCACATATTTCCCAAAGAAAACAGTTGTTTTTAATGTGTCATAACAAAAAATGTCAATGCATTCTTTTTCAAATTAAAAAAAATCACCTTCAATCAGCATATTGTTATGCTTTAATTATTCGTCGCGTACAATGTTCTGTCTTGTTTTCCGTAGTATTTTTTATCGTTAACTAAAAACCGCTGTTACGTAACGCTGGTTAACAAAGCTACCCTATTGGCTCTTCAAACAACCTTGAAAATTCAAGGCTTTTCATTGACAGTTTATAGTAGAATAATATGTTAAAACAAGGAAGTGATACACATCCTGCTGAATTATTTATAGTCATATGAATTGTGACGTACACTCATTCGGTCGCTTGGTGTAAATGATTTCGTTTAATTTACAATGTCACTAAAATAATTGATTTTGATCAAATTTATTTTATTTGAACACTAAGGTTCAGCTCAGTGCTTAAATAGCTAAATAATCAATAGACATTTAGGACATTAAAAACATTATAAATGATAATACATTATAAGAGAAGATAGAGAAGATACGTGCACTTAGTTATCTAATAAAAGGTTAACTTTATCTCTGAGCTTATCCTATGTTTAATCTGGGAAAACAATGGGTTGACGCTATTCTTGTCTTGTTGTCGTTGAGGTTTTAATCTTACTGTACTCTTTTCGTTGTTAGTTTAAACAATATTTTATTTATAATCCACACATTTTACATAATAAAGTACATAAAATAAAATTTACGGATTGAGTAGGAAGCTTCATTGTTGTGAATGCCATTTTTTCTTTTCAAATAATCTACTGTTATTCACATGATAAAAAAACCACTATGTACAAGCGTTTTAAATGTATGCTACCCTACTTCTTGCAGATATGATCTAATGATACATAATAATAATAATAAACCGTGCAATATCGCTATCAAAAATGTTCCACGTGTTAATCGTACGATTTTGTATTTTAATCCAATGATACACAAATTTCATTTAAAGTTCCTGATATAAAATGCAACACACTGTAAAAAAAGCATGATTTATTACAATCGGTCACGATAAGGGAAGACATTTAATCAGGCATATTTCGTTATTTTCCATGTCTTATCAACGACATGTAAGCATATGTGGCCAAAGCAGCAACAAATTCTTGCCAAATTAACGTTTTCTAGAAAACAGTTATATATTTAACAATTATTGACTAGTTAGCCATTGAATATGATGTGATATTAACCGGCAGATAACATATTGACCGAGGCGATAGCCGAGGTCAATATGACTTTCTGCCGGTGAATATTATATGTTGATAAATAAGTGATTTGATATTGGCCTTGTTATTTGTCCGAGGGCAGTCGTATTGGCCCAAGGCCTTCTTATTTTAATTCAACATATTTTAATTATAACAAAGAACAACTGTAAAAATAACTATATTTTATCAGTTTGTATGGGAAACCTACATTTTGTAAGTTATATTGTAAATGTACAACAAAGTGTCAGACTGTGAATGTTTAGAAACTGAGAATATTTTGTTTCATTTATGCAATACACATTTACCGAGTTAAAACAAAATGGCTGCCATTTCCCAGTTTCTTGCAGAAATCTAAATCATTTTTGGCCCTGCTATATAAGCCAATCAAATTACTTCAAATGCGGGCTTTATATCTATATCACTTTTCGGCCCGGGGCATGGAGTGTAATTTTATGCAATGCTTTGATTTAAAATATCAGCGGTTGTAAAATGTATAATTTTGTATTGTGTATCGAAATTGCTAAACTAGTTTGTTGACATTGATTTTCCACGTGTGTAATTAGATAAAATGTGTACCGAGTGTGCAAAAGGCGTTGCATTTCTTGTGTTTATTTATAGTATAGAGGGGGTACATTTGCCGTTACTTCTGAATTATTTGCTTATATTTTTCAATTATTGATAGAATGTCAATCTCCTGTGGTACATGTATCAGAATTAGAGTTGGAGGGTCGGTACATAACTGCTATTTCAGCAGAGAACCAGCTGATAAAATGTTGTTTTTTATGTTGTTGTTTTATTTTTGTTTGTTATTTTTGTTAATTGAATGCGCCTTAAAGCGTAAAAACCTTATATCTGCTGAATAAAGTTTACAAAATGAATAGAATAAATCTACAGTTCTTGTAGGAAAGAAATATGTTTACATTATGTGTCCATATTTAACTAAGGGCGCACGGTGAGTGCACGAAATCATTGCTAAACGGTTTAACCATACTAAACAAAAATCCAGAAATTTCTATTCTATTTATGTATTTTCAAAATTCATGTGTAATAAATAACAGAGACATACTATGTTACAACTCATTCAATAATCGACCATATGGTTATGCACACAACATAATTTTATCACTTTAACTTTTTTTTTAGAAATATTTCATACCTTTCAGCAACCGGAATAATAAAATGTGAATTGATATTACTGTAATATAGATATCCGGTAAAATAAAACAAATGTCTTATATTCATGAGGACCTAGATTATACAAAGAAACAAATTTTACATTATCATTTTCTGATGATAAAATTACGATGACACGGGTAAAAAATCAACCATACAACAAGGTTGTCTATTTCATTTGAGAAGGTAAAGAAAACAATTGTCTCTCCTTTTTATCCAGGCGTGATAACTGTATAAAACTTTCTATCTGTAGTTTTAACCTAGTTTTCTCCCTTTGATAGTTCATGTATTTTGCTATTTGTAATCACCTCCACTTCGCCTGTTGCCTGTTTCTTCGTGTTGTTAATCATCGCTTTAGCAAGAATGTCAAAATGAACGGAAGAATATGTTGGAAACAGTTTGGTTAATGGAAAAAGGACGACTTTAAAACATGTCTCCATAGGACGTCTTTCTACCCTGTTACCTAGCAACAATCTGTATGAAAATATGAAAAGAAAACATACAAATAACTGCAATAAATGTTTTGTTAAAATGCATAGAAAATTGTTAGTTGTAATAGGTAGAAACGATAAAATCCATATAAGAAAATAAAAACAAAATTGGTTTCAATAAGGTCGGATGTTTCACTACAAGACAAACTCATCTCAAGTCTTTTAAATGCCAGTGTCTCATTGGTTAATTTTAAAACTATAAATAAATCCAGGTGACGCTTTCATATAAACGTGTAAAAATTACGTGATTTTGTACCTTTTGTCCATCAAAGTGTTATTTTCAAGTTTATGATACTCTAAAGTAAGAACATGTAAATATGAATAAAATCATTATTAAGAGCTTGACCCATATTTAAGATACATATGTATTTATAAATAAACAAACCCTGGCTGAAATATTGAAAGCCTTTTGAAATGTAAATCCTTTAGCCCCTCTTCAACCTCGCCCTGAAAAATTGACATAAATGACATTAAAACTTTTTTTATTTATGTAATACCAAATAGATTGTAGATTCTTTAACAAAAAGAACCACAATAAAGTCATGATTTATTCAAACTGTCCGTCAACTGTTCCCTCATAGCAGATCATCTGGTATTATCATTAATTATAATCTGACATTATACATGTATAACCTAGATAAAAAAAAGTCTCAAAATCATTTAGATAATGGTCTCTATATGGACTCACGGATGCTCACATTCATCATCAATATTTTCATTATAAGCCTAAGTATCCTTACTGCGCCTTATACCTAGTGTATATTTAAAGATCAAGCTTTCACTCATAGATTAATAACTTCAACATAATTAGTGTTACAAATGAGATACTATTTCACCTCATGTAAAATATACGTTTCCTAAACGCCGCCTTCCCTTGTTGATCTTGTTTATCATATTTTTTTTAATTATAAGTTGGAATGAATTTCCAAATTTTTTTAAAATATTGTAGTCATTAATCTTTCTACAACATCCACCCAATTCTAAAACTAAAACTATATAGTATACATGTTATATGATACGCTACCTTGACTTTATTGTACAAGAGAGAACTATTTTTATCAGACGTTGAGGCAGTCACAACTTGAAAATGCGTACATCCGGCTTCTTTAGCAACTTTTGCACTGTTTAAAACATAGTCCTTGTCAACTCTTACAAAATGTTCCTGTAATATTTGTCAATAACAGAATTATACACTTTAAATATAAATAGTATTTCTAATAAGACTTAATAGTACAATGCATTGACAATTTCGTTATACATTGTCTTGTCAAACTAATTATCTGTGTAAAAATGCAATGCATGTACACTGTATATCGAATTGCATCGTAGGATACCCGCGGCTTGTTAATCAACCATGGGTGACGATGATCGATTGTTAATTCTACAATTATTACAATGTTTATAGAACAGAACAAAACAAAATCTTTATTTGTACACTTGAGCTCTACGCCCCTCGTCTATATAAATATAATACATAAAATACAAAATTTTATAATTCTTAATAGCACAATTTCTGTAAAAATAATAACAAATATGTTGTCAAACTTAACAGTTCAATTTGAATTAAGATAAGATAATATAATATATAAGACTTGTGTAGCTTAAAAGAATAATTAGCATAAAATGTATGATACATGACTTGTACAGAATAATAATGCATTATTCATACAATTCATTATAATTTTTTGTTTTTGTTTTTGTTTTTGTTTTTTATAACTTACCGGTCCAGCTTTTCCACGTGTCGTTCCTAGGCAACAAAAACCAACATCACAATTTTTGAAATCTTCGGTATGTGTTTCCACCTTTTCAAAATCTATTACTTTTTGACTCTACAAAAAGATAAGACAACAAACAATTTTATTTCATCCACGATTGCACGTAAAAAGAAGTTTGATTCAAAAATTAAAAACATTAACTTCTTGTGGTATTTATTACATTGTTATAATTCTCCATTGGCTACATAACATTTTGATATCAAATATGAATATTTTATGTATCAATTATTTTCGGTTCACCTTTGGTGGGTGCAAAGAAACAGGTTGTTTTTTCTTGACTGTGAAACTCCTTTGTGAACAGATGTAATGGATGATGTACTTTTGGAAAAGAATAAGTTTATTTATGTTTGAGATAGTGCCCATTAGGGGTGTACATGTACAACCTTACTACCTAAACTTTCTTGTATTTCATGGGTTTTATCAAAGATGCATTTTAATGCTATTTGTAAGGGGACAAAACAACTTTAAAGTTGCATGTCTCAAGATGAGCCAAAATATTTTTAAAAAATCAAATTTAATTAAGAGAATTATTTACTAAAATGTTTTAAAAAGTAAAATCATTCAAGGTTTAAGCAAACATTAACATGCTATTTGCAACTAATGGCTGCTTTTCTGCTTTTATCATCATATGTTTACTGTAAGGGCTGTTTTTGCATATTTTAACATCTTTTGGTATTTTACGCTGATTATAAATGCCATTTGCAATGTAAAATTTACTCACTTTTTCCACAATATTTTCTTTTCAATATATTTTCAAAATGCATAGGAAATATGCATTTGATTCTGACCAAATTTATCACGAAAACATTTGCTTGTCAACTTATAATAATGAGGCACAAAAAGTACAAGGAACCAGTTTGTATTCCCATGTCATTATTATTTAGTTTTCATTAGAAAGGTATCGGTAAAATTTAATAAAAGAAGACCCACTGTCACTTTAATTGTTCGTCCAACGATGTTAAATAGAACCCTGAATCTAATCTAATGTCTTATCGAATGGAAATCATTTGTACCTGCATTTTAGAACATAGCACATATGTTTATGCAAACAAAACCCGATAACGCCTTTCTTACTTAATATATATACATGTATATTTGACAAGATAGAGCAAGATAAACGCTTTATACGCTTTAACATTTTAAGCGGTATTTTGGTAATAGTTTCATCTCTTAGCACACATTTAAAAGCACGTAACACATAAATATCCCAGATCAATGACCTCTTTAAGGTAAGTAACCTTATCTTTGATCTGTATATAAACTATAGTGTCTTAAAAAGTCATAAAATCAACACTACATAATATCCATGACATTACAATACCCTGAACAGATACCCAAACATAGCTTTCGAAAATGAATTTTAGGAAAACTCAAATTGTTGGGGTCAAAATTTAACACGATATTTTGATTACTTTATGTTTATTTTAGGAATTCATTCGACGCTATCTTAAGATACGACTGACAGGCTGTATTTAAAAGAAAATACTGATAACAATTTAAAGTATCTAAGTGTTTCATTGTTTCTATTACATGACGTTATATCCTTTACAATCTTCCCTGTACAATTTTCATCTCGTTTCACTCAAGATGTGTCTATTTTTAGCAAGTTTTAGAACTTTAACCCCTTCTCGTAGTGGCTAAATTTCAGTAAGTATATGGAAGTCAGTAAAAATCATGTAAGCCCCCAAAGGTGTAGATCATCTTGTAAAAGAATAAATTCCACTGCCAAGATTTACATAAGAACAAACATATATGGCTAATTTATAACTTACAAACCGACTATCGTCTGCAATTTGAAAATCTCCAAGGTCCACTTGTCTCCTTCCGATGAGAATAATGTTTGAAAAACTGTTGTCACGTGACAACTGTTTAATGACTGCCTTCCCTGTCTCACCAGTATATCCTAAAACAAAAACTTTCAGACCAGACGACATTTTGAATACCAAAGTCACGTTACAATTTAGGATTAAACACGTTTTGTTTACGTTTAGTTTAGATCAATAATCTGTATGTCCGTATATTATATTAAGATCAAATATAGCGACTTAAAACTTGTTTAAGTACAATCAGTCTTATATCTATCACATTTCAAATGATTCAATTCATAAAATATGTCCTTGCTATTTTTTTTTACATAACCCTTAGTTATATCAGTAATCACTGCACATATACATGTTTATTTTGCGTTCTTTTTATCTCTAGTCTTAACCATATAGTACATATTCAATAGTTGACGTTTTTATGACCTTGTTACATAGGTTTATCATATCAGCGCATAAATATTGTAACGACGTACAGGTATATAAACTGGAACGCGAGTCTTCATATTTTGACATGATAAATTAACCTTTCATCCCGCAGATGACAATACAATCTACCCATGTGACCAGTGCAGACCACGATCAGCCGGCACATCGGTGTCGTCTGTATTATAATGAACTGCACTGTCCGCTATTTAGTCAGTAGTAATTCTCCATACACAAACAACTTTCTTCTTGTTACTTATGTAATTGAAATGTTTTATATCCTTTCAGCAGCTGTAACGTAATAAAACGTATTCGCGAAGGTGGCACTTTTGGGCTTCCGTAGATTCCATATTAATTCCTCAAATTTGGATTAGGCTCCAACATTGAAACATATGCATGGCATAATACAGGATGTCACGTGATCAAGGTCAAGGACGAATTTCGAACACCGCTATTTCCATTTAAAGACGTGTTTGCGTGCGAATTTGACAAAATTGGAAATTTGAATTCTACCGCCAACACATGTTTCTCACCAGGTGCGTGTCACGTGACTTTTCCTGCCAAAATGTTATATTTTTCGAACAGATAAATGGTCAAGGTGGGGAACAAACACAAAGTTAACCATGTAGGAGACAGCTGCACTGCGTTTATACTTCCGGTTTTTTTTTAAGTTAGCCGCGCATACATCACCATAACAGCCTGCGCATGTCGTCACGTCCTGAAATCGCGTGCTCTGACGCGCGCTTTTATGTCACACAGCACTAAATCAGAATGTCATAGGGTTGAAACATCGCCAGTAACTGCCTATACGGACTGAGAGGCGACACTTTGAGGTAGGGGGTCTCTATGAAAATGCTTGAAAAGGTGGTGGCCGCCGAAAGGATATATTGTTATGTATGGATGAAACATTGATAAAGATTGTATCATATTATATTTTGATATTTTCCCCTAAAATGATGAATGACAAGTCAATTATCGATAATAAAAAAAGCATCACAAAAGTTCAAGATAAGTCATATTAACTAAAGACGTTTTAAAGATCATTTACCTTTAGAATAAATCACATGTATTTCCTGTTCTTATTTGAATAATAATTATTCATTCTATTTCATACCGCATTAAAATAGGCATTTTTAATGTTTGATTCTATGCTTGCATATGTCTTTTGATATCATAAAATGTCGGTATATCATGTAAACAACAAATGTTAATGTGCATTTTTTTTTAATATTTTAAACGGATGAAGAAAAACAGATTTAACTTATGTAGTAACTACAATATTCACCGTTCAACACAAGCTAACGGCGAACAGGTCCGACAACTCTTGATCACATTTGAATTTCAGAGTCAGGTCGAAAGTTCAACGGTAGCTGGAGAATAAATGTCTACGCGGAAGCTTTAGCAACCACGTATAATCAAAGGGCTGCAACCTCTGTGGTATTTTCTGATCTTTGCAATCTAAATCATACTGACTATCTGTATGTATTTTCCTATATAAGTTTATTTTTATATACTATAATTAATCTTACGCACCGACTGCGTCTATAACAGTTTGAGATTGATACATATGGAATTTTGCATGACTAGAGTTGCATCAAAAAATCATTTTCATTTTTTTATGACAGCCATACTTTATCCTTGCATATCGTGGCTACTTCCTTAAAAAAGACACTTCAAAAAAAAAAGTTGCCTCGACTGGGATTTGAACCTTGGGCCTCTCACACCCTAAACAACGCGCTACCTCTGCACCACGGTGAAGTAATACATATGTAGCTTGAATAATAACAAATACATTGTAATTCTAAATTGAGAATTTCCATTCCGTGTTTGTAATCCTTACTAATTTCGAGGTATTTCTTCACTATAAACCTGTTGTTTAACACTGATGAAAATAATTTAGCGAAAATCTTCTCGCCAAAACAGTACGACATGTATATATTCCACTCCTCGACAGTCAGATTTATGTGTACTACGCTCTGGAGTATTCGGTAATCGACATAGCTAAAAATAGCATTTTCATTGATTAAGCTTTACGGAAATAGCTGAACATTTTTCATTGGGTAAAAAAGATATTCATCCGCGAAATTTGTGATTGTAACCTCATATTTATATTGACTATTCTAAACTTTTAATGCACTGTAATTCGTTAAATGCATACATTAAAAATTATTCTTTATTTTAAATTGCTGGTTTTTAAGCAGTTCTGAGTGAGAACTACTTTGCGTTGTTAGGTCTGTTAGGAAAATTTGTGTTAGACCGTGGATGTTAGCTATGTATTTACTGATCTTGCGATCAGAAAATACAAAAATGTTATATCTATGAAGAATAGTGTTGCATAATGACATGAGTTTAATTGAAGTAATTTTAGATGTTGACTGATCTTTTATTGATGATGCTGATAAATGCGTTGCAGAGTGAATTCCCTTTGATAAGAGGTAACCATTTGTAAATTGATTTTTTTTCTAATTCACTAATCACGCGGCAACGGCGCCGGTGTTTACATTGGTCGAAATTGATCTTTATTTTTTTATACACCTAAAAACGTTTTCACCCAAAATATGCCAAATCTGTGAGTGTCTCAAAGCAACAGAACGGAACTTTAGTATTGATATTAAAATTCTGAAGGTTTGTTAAAAATTGTGAGTGCCTGAAACAATTATCAGTTATTAAATGTTCTTCTTTTAGAAACAAAATGATTTTGTGTGAAAAAGGTAGTTCGAGTGTGATAAGTTAATAAAACTATTATGTGGTTTGTTATTTTAGCATAATTATGTAAGTTTTAATAGTGTCAGAATTGTTTGAAAAAAAATTCACAAAGCTCCTCATAAAACTCTTAAAAATACTTCCAGGGTTCCATGTAGTCAACTTCTAAAGTCAAATATCTAGGTCCAGTCATATAACACTTGGTCAAGTTAAAGAGAGTGCTGCATTATTCCTAGAGAAACATGAGACTATACCAGTCTGATTTTAATTTTGAAGCAAGTTTAAGTGAGGATTTTTTTCTATTCATTATTTTTAGAAAATATAATATACAGTTCAATCGGTAAAGAATGAACTCTTTATTCCATCCAAATACAGATTTTATAACGTTCCCATTGGTTGGTTCAAAATCTATAAGTTAAGTTTAGCACCTATATAAGAAGCTGAGCGGCGTGTTCGATGAAGGTTGTACATAAATTTTCAAATTATTTCAACTTAGATTTAATCTAGCTTAACTCAATAATAACCACACTTCCCTCTCGATACACATATGACATTTGCTACATTTGAAAGTTTATTGTATTTTTCAGGCTATTACAATGTGAGACATTTCGTCATTTCTGGTACTTATAATCCTTTGAAGAGATTAAAACTAATAAAGACATTGTTGATCATCAGCTACCGTTAACGGCGCTGACGTTGACATGACATATAGTGAAGTTCATTTTCATTTATATGGAACATAAATCTGCAATTTATATGATTTGAAGCATGATTTACGTTTCCCTAAATTATAAGAATAAAATAATTGAAATTGCGTAAAGATATTACATGAAATAATAAACAATAAGAAACGTTGTTGATATATCAAAATAATTTAATAAATAATTTATTCATTTATTTATTTACATCATGATTAAATGAGACAATGTTATCACATAAATTAAAATATTTTAGCACATTTTTTTACCCACAAAGGGGATATAATTCACTCATGTTTAACACTGAATTAGTAAAGATAATTTCTCTTTTGCTATTCGGCTGGCCAGGGCTTATGGCTGGTGCCATATTGGTCATCAATATATACGCAGACGATAAAGGCGCACACAAATTTTTCATCGCAGACACTTTTTTTGTTTTTCGACAATGCATTATAGAAATGAATCCGTCCAGAATTTGACTAGGTGTGAGTAAGTTTTCTTCATTATGGCACGTGGTGTATGACGTAAAATGTTTCATGTATTATGATCTTATTTCTGGGTTTAGAGGTTTTCTCGTGCGCATTCTCTCCAGTGTGGCCATTGAAAATTTATATACAAGTCGTCTGCCTTCAACCCGTTCTAGAATGCCTCTCTTGTAATAATGTCTGAAATAAAACGAAAACTATCACAATTAACGGCCTTATTTAATGTTATAAATATACTTTAAGCAATTCTTCAAAATGTTGTTCTCATACACGTAAAATTATCACGATATTTGTTATCGGCATAAAAATATAAGTAGCCTATTATGTCACAGCATTATATTTTTCAATATGTCAGATTTTTCACAATTTTTACCAATTCTTTTTATTAAAATATATAATAAAAGAAAGAATTAAACGATAATAAAACTGTAAATAAAAATGTAGACTAACCTCATTGCTCGGCTCAATTTTTCGTACGTCATGTTTTCGTTGCTCTTCAATGTACCCCACAGTTGTGCGACTGATTCCGACTGTACAAACCGGAAAACGCCCTCGTTTTGGTTTTCCCATTTCAATATGGATGGATTATAAAGGGGGTTGTTTAGCATGTCGTAGATGAACTCCCATAAATGTTGACTCTTCACTGAAGAAAATAAGGAATTACTTTAATGATAATAAGAAATGTTTTTGTCTAATGAATATAATGTTTAAACTTTAATTTTTTAAGGATTACTTCCCTTGTTACGTGTTTTGAAATTAAGTAAAATCAAGGGAAATAATCACAAAATTGACTGTTTGATATAACAAATGTATATGAAATATATGTGCATACAGGTGTGTTACATTTACATATTATATAAAGGTTTTCATTTTATTCTAGATATGCTAAAAGGTTATGTACTTACTTTTCTTTTCCCGCTGTGCCTGTAACTCTTCCTCGGTTGGAACGCTCTTAATGCGTGGCCGACCAGGGCGTCGTCGTGGCGTTCCATTTGTATCGTAGCGCTCTCTGGCGGTCATCTTATACTGAGACTTTTGGCTAAGATGGTACTGACTTCCTGTGTATTCGTATGGATAGTTTAAAGGCTGCATGCCCAGTGAATATGATGATTGAGGAGGCAACATGTTTCCGGTATCAGACGTTTGGAATGACTGAGAACCATTTCCGTTTGCTAAAAATAGAAATAATTATTGAAAATAATAGATATGGGTGGATAAAGGTTCGTAACAAAAATACTTTATTGATTTATTTTATTTTATAATATCTTTTTATATATAATACATAATTCTGATATACAGTAAGAATTTACGAAAGTTTCGGGATAACATTTTTATCTTTGGTAATATATATACATTTAATCAAATGCTTTTTACCATAAACAAAGTCATATGGTGTCAGTCTTTCTGTTCCCGGGACATACATGTCAGGACTAGTTTGAGTTGAGCTTTGACTAGGACTAGTTACATGACTATGTGATAACTCACTGGGACTCGTTGCTATGGAAAAGCTGCTGTTTCGAGATTCTGTGTAGCTGTAAGTTTGGTCAAATTCGGATTGCTCTGAGAAGCTAGAGTGGGCTGGCAGGGGAAAAATTACTGGAAATTCAAAAATTTGAAAAAAATAACTTAAAAAAAATTTTAAATTTTTAAACCATTAATGAAAAAAACTTATTTAAAATTTTTAATTTTGGAAGGGACAAAAAACTTTATTTTGTGTTTCCGGGGGATAAAATAATTCCCTTGTATGAAATAAAATTTTAAATTTTTGTTTAAATTGTTGATAACTTCTGAAAAAAAATTGCAAATTTGTTTTTTTTAAAAAAAGGATATATTTTTTAAAAATAAAAAATATATCCCTTACACCCTTTGACCAATTGTGGGAAAACATTTTGTAAAGAATTTCTCCAAAATATGGACCAAAGGGTTTTTAAAAATCTTCGGGACCCATTTGAAAAAGAAAATTTTTTCCGGAAAACCGCCCCTAAAAGCTTCCCCAAAGTAGTAAAAGTGGGCCCCATTTTTTTTCCCGGGGAGTAATATAACCAGTCTAAAACTTCCGTTGCATTCCAATTCTCTGGATGCTTGATTGTCCAGCTCATTAATTCAGATGACGTTGTATCTGTAAAAAAGCAACATAGACATAAGAAAGCTATAATAATGTTAAATATAAGAATTGAACTATACATTTTGAGTTCGCAAGAAACAAAATTTATATTAATCTTACTAATATGACTAAGATATAAAGTTTTATCTAAAGATATTGTGTAGTTTAGAAAAATAGCATTTTACATACCATTGGAATCTTCCTCGTAAAAGTTATGGGTCTGTATAAGGTTTTGGTGCTGAGAATGTGAGTATGTCACTGAATCTTTCTGTAATGACGTCGATGATTGTGACATAAATTTTGACGTCATATCCGGTAACTGAATGAGATCTGAATATTGTTTTAATTCATCAAAATGTTTAATATAATCTTTACTGGTGTCGGTGTTTAATTTTTCGTTTACACGAATCTGGGTGTTTACAACATCCATACATTTATTAACAGAATCACAGTTGTTGTCTTTTACAATGTTTTGTAAAGATATTGCAGACTGTACGATATCTTCAGGCACAATAAAGTCTCGCTCAGGCACATCATATGGCGTAGACGAACTATTTGTACTTGCGGAGGAATATTGAGACGATTCCTCTTTGTTTTCTTTTGCAACAAAAGAGAGATATTCATTGTCCATGTCAATTTGCTCTACCAGATCGTCGGCAATACTTTGTGTATGTTGAGCTTCCGACGGAATCTGATGAGTTTGAAATGACCTTTCCGGCATAAAAGAAGCGTCAAAGAATGAATGATAGGTACTAATTCCGTCGTCAAACGGCGACAAGGCACTTTCGATTTGCTCCATGAGATCAGAATGCTGAAAAGACAAAAAAATCCTTATAAAATAAAACAGTCATTACATAAGCATTATATAATAATTAATTCATTCTCAGATTAAAGAAAATGGGTGAGATATCAACTTTTTGGTGTATGCTTACATTTTTGTTTTAGATCTATCTTATTTCTATTTGTACATGAACATTCCTTTTAAACAATGTGTTGAAATGATTATTATATAAGAATATACCAGAAAATAAGAAGTACAAACAAAATCGTTTATAATAAGACAGCGTTTATTAAATAAACCATGTCTATAATATGTTTCTTCCTGACAAGCTTGAAAGTATTTAAAACTTAAATATATATTCAGAACTGTAATTGGATATTAACATCCAATGTTGTGTAAATCATATACCGTAAAACCCAAGCAAAGAAATGTGAAAATATGAAAATACCTAAATCATACCATTATAAAATATGTGAGATTATATATAGATAAGAAAAATAACATCCACAACCAAATAAATGAATTAGAATAATACCTCTTCAATATCAGCCGACGGCATTATTGAGTCTAATTCACCGTCGGGAGACAACTGAAGCAGCTTTTGGGCCTTCGCTTGTTCGATTTCATCTAGGACACAACCAACTAGGTAGAATAAATCTTGCTGTTCAGCCTCAGCTGTAAGATAAAATATAATACTTGTTGTCTTTTTTTCTTTTCTCCTAATATAATATGTGTAAATTAAGTTTAGCTCAGTGAATGAAACTAACTTTTAAAAAGTGGTTTGCGTGTTTGCTTCATCTTTTGAAATAAATAATAAATATTAGAGTTGTTAAATGAGAACATTATTTTCATTCTCAGTCATTTGTTATTATCGTTCTTTTGATATCATTATTATTAGTAGTAATTGCATCATCATCTTCATCATCGTCATCATCATCATCATCGTCGTCGTCGTCATCATCATTATCACCATCGTTATTATTATTTTCATTATTTTTATCATTATTATTTTTTTATCATTATTATTTTTGTTTTTTTGCTATAAATACACTGTAAAATTTTTTAATTAAAGTTTTTTTCAAACCCATCACCATCTTCAAAAATATCTCATCATCAACAACAAACAAAACCATATCATTTAAAATATGATTTGATATCATGATAAGTTTTAACTCATTACAATTTTAATTAAATATTCCATTTTTGTTAAAGTAAGGAAAAAAAATAGAATTTATTTTGTTAAAATATCCAGTTACTATAAACGGCCCGGTTTTGTCATATTTTTTCTTTTCCTTGCAACTTGAAAAAAATTAAAACAAAAAATAAATTTTTTAAATAAAATTAAAAAAAAAATAATAGACAATCACCATATCATGCAGTTCCAATGTACCAAAATTGCAAGTGGTATATCAATAAAAAAAAGAAAGAAAATTCCAATGTTAATTCAAATATTTGAAATAATAAATATAAAGATTAGTTCAATCAAGTGCAGGATTTCGGAAGTAAAAATCTGAAAAGGAAGACGGTTATGAAAATTACCTGAGTCTAAATCCAGTGTTTGAACCATCAGGAAATCTTTCGAGGAAATAGAATTTTAAATTTTATCCCAAGTTCCTTCTATTTTATTAAAACATTCGATGTTTCCTTATTAGAAGTTCATTTCAGTTTGAGTAAAGTAAGTGGTAACATGTTATATACAGGTTTTTAATGATGAACTTTTTCAATTCGGCTGCTGGCAATTTTGAAAAAAGTGGGCGGGATTTAATTTTGATTGTCAATAAGTCGTGTAATTAAATATTACAAGTGGTATACTGTTAAAAATGATCCATCAATATTGACAAGATAAAATCAATAAAAACGATAATTGAACGAAGAATCACCTGCGGGAATTGACTATACGTCTAACGTTAGGATGGTCTAGCTCCGAGGAACACGGTTGATGCAAGGGGTCGAGGGATAAGGACAGGACCACGGATTGCCCTAGGATCGCTCTATCCATCAAAAAAAGTGTTGTTGTTGTTTTATATAACGGATTGTCATGATAAATTAATAAAAAACAAATGTTCTCACAGGTCGGCCCTTATTTGTTCTTTACGTAATTTGTCATTGTTCTGTCTAAATGCAGACAGTTTCGATGATTTCTTTAAATGTTGTTTTAATTTATGATTAATTGAAATAGTTTTGAACTTTCAAGTTCGCCGCAATAGTCAAATTTATTTTTTTTAAGTGACCACCTATTTTTCATCAACTTTAATAAATATTTTTACTAGTTATTTCAGAATAGGAATCTTACTGAATTCGGTCGTTATTTAACTATTAATGTTTTACTAACATTTCAAGAAGAAAGAAAGATCAAGTAAAACAAAAACATCAATAAAAAAGATAAAAAAGAGCTTCTATTTCACCTCAAAAAACTTAACCAGGTTAAAAAGCGAATAAATAATATGACTATATTCAAATTTGAACTTCTATTTCACCTCTATAAAAACTTTGACTGGTTCAAAAGCGTATACATATTATGACTTTATTTCTTATTTTGTTTTATATTCGATTTAAACAACTTTTGCATCTTATTTTATTATTGCAATAGACTGTAAGCTACACATTGTAATAAAAACTTATATTTTTATGTAAATTTCAATAAAATGCAACAAAATTAGTCAAGAACTTTTCTCATGATGGTATATAATTCATGATACTTTCTTTTAGGGCATTTCTTTTTTTATTTTACTTCGATTTGACCATCATTTTCCTACTCGTAAATAACCAAATAATCTGTTTATTAGATGAGATTTTCTCTGACTTAAACAGTTACAATGTTGACAACATAGAATATATGCACTAAATGAGCATTCCTAATTTGATCTTCTAATGAAATTACCGGATGTGCATGAACTTGGATTCATTACAATTTAAATATGAATTTAAATTTGATTAGTAATTGATATGCTAGAATTTTTCTGAATTTATCTACGATTTATCTCGTACTTTACTTTTTTTTAAATAAAATTTTTCATGTTTTGAAAAACAAATATTTTTACAACCAAACAAAGAACTATAAACGCGGTGTATTTTAAAGGCATTAATACCAATTGAAAAGTCAGTTTGTTTTGATAAATGTGCACATAAATGTAATGATAAGTAAAGATAAGAACAAATCATGTATTTTGTTTCTTGTTTGTATTTATTGATTTATGGTGAACATGATTGACAAATTATCTGTTATAACGACATCACCGCCGTCATACAACACCATCTTTGCCATCGGCTTATCGTCTTCAAGATCATGTTTCATGTTGTTGTTGTTGTTTTTGTTTTTAGGGGGAGAGGGGTGTTTCTTTATCTTTCTTTTCTTTTTAGTTTTGTTTCTTCTGTTTAACAAAAGACATAAGTATATGTCTATATAACATTTATACTACTTCTCAAAATAACTGTCTTTTTAAAAGAAAAATAACATTCAAGACCTTAAGTTCAAGAATAGAAGTATTGTTGTTTTTATATCAAGCAGAAAACAACAGCAGACGGCATAGTCCTGCCTGAACACAATTTTTTAATAGTTTGAGGAAAATATAATAAAAAAACTATGTTTATATTAAATAGAAGACATATAATCTTAAATATTATGAACGATGATATGGCTATATTTCGTAATAATATTTCTAGGCGGTAAAGTTTTTTGTCGATTTAAGATGGTTGTATACTTCTGTGTCACAATAAAGAAGTAATTAAGTTACTTGACATGGAGCCAGTGTCGTGTTGAAATTTGTAAAGATCTGCTCTTCTTTCTTCATCTAGACTGGGCTCTCTTTCAGTAATTCAATCAAAACGTCTGACTTTCTCCAAAATAAACTGTTTGGCATTAAGAGTAACACAACCTACTTTAAGAAAGCTGACATTTTGAAAAGTGTGGTTTGTTTCTGATAAATATGTCTCTGTGAGTGTTTCATTGAAATAAAACTTTTGACGACAGGATGGGTAAACTGACAAACACTTTTTTGTTGAGGTTTGTAAATTGTATATGAGTCGTTGTATATTGTTTCAATCAATGACGACATGTAGCAGTTGTTTGCCAAATTATTTCTAATTCAGTCGCAAAATGATAGTTTAAATTGGCACAAAACAACTTTTTATTTTGTTACATCAAGATTTTCACCATGCGCTCTATTTTTAAACATATTTGAATGTTGAATAGACATCTCTTTAATTGTATAGTTATCTTTCATTACAGATCAATGTCCTTGTTGTAGCATCATTTTTGGGTTATTTCTGAGCATGTTTCTATGAAACTGACCATCTTGACAGTTTTGATGGCGGTGTTTTGCACTATTTACTTGCGTTTTATTAATATTTAGTAACCTTAAACTTGTACATGTAATCTTCTGATATAACTTACCGTAACAATAATTTCACAGACAACTTACTGTAAAACTAAAAAAAAAGTTTCGGGATCTTTTTTTCTCTCTTAAAGTGGATTGGTCTAGAATTAGCTCAGTTCCATAACAATTTCAAATATCAATAAAAACAAAAAAAAATGTATCATTTGGATAATATTTTAAGATATTTCTTGAAAACAGATGTTGATAATGTTTTATTGGTTTAGTATGAGCATTTATGCGACAATATATTGTTTTTTATTACAGATCAATTTAATATGTTCTATATAAAGATATGTAATATTGGATCAAATATCTAACAGTATCCATATAGAGCGGCTATTATTCTTTTGTGGTTTGATGTTACGTATGATACTTCCTTCTATCGGCATAATTATTTATTGTATAGACTAATTCACATTAAAGATAGATAAAAACAAATCAATGATGATACTTCAAAATTTTGTTTAATCAAATAAGTGCTTATTAGTATAAGATGCTTATTTCAAATGATAAACTTTGTGTACAAGGTCATGACCTTCACCCCGGGGGTCAATGTAAGATGGTTATCACTGGTGTCATATAGCACTAAAAGTTTCATATCATAATTTTATTATAACTTGCGTAATAATACCACTAATGTCTTCCTTAAATACATAAACCTTTACTGTTGACACTTGCTAATTGTTACATTTTTTATTGCTTTCTTTATGGCGTATCTGTGATGACAGTGTTTTCTAATACTCATTACTGTTCATATTAATTTTGAAGCATGTTTTATGCCAAAAAAAACAGTCTATTTAAGTATTATCTGTTGAAATAAAACTATATGTTTTATTCAGAACAATTGTAAACTGATCATACACAGCGTAAGAGTTTGTTGTCACCGTATGTTTCCACAACGAACTTAGATATAAAAGCTTGGCAAATAAAGAAACAAACCTTGCTTGTTAATGTATTTTCTATTACCTGATTAAGTATCTTATTGTATTTTGTGTTTACATGTGATAATTCTTATGTTTATCTATTTGTATGGCGATGTACTAGTTTAAACCTATATTTAAGTCTCATCATTGTACAGTTCATTACATTTATACATATACATTGCACAGAGCCATTCTAAAATAGAATTGTAAGAGACTACTTAGCATTATTTACGGACTTTTACACATTTGTACACAAACTCTTTAAAATAGAGGTTAGATATTCCTTGCTAATCCTGCAGCTACGTTTTTACATAACCAGTTTATAATGATATTATAATTGTTGCATTTGAATAAATATAATAATAATTAAAAAACAAAAACACAGGAGTCTAGTAGCAAGCAGATTAGCAAGCAATTTCTATCACAAAGTAAAACCTTAACAATGGATAATAATTCAGCATATATACAAAATTAAAACATTAAGTAATAGTTAAAAACTTATATTTTACAGAATATTAAAAAAAATATGACAATGATAGAATTCAGTTTATGTTTTATGTATATACGTAGTTCAAAACGTTACGTAATAGCTAAATACTTATTGTATAGAGCATTGTTTTCTAGTTTTCAACATATTATAACAGGTTGTTGCAGTTGTTCCAACCATATCAGGGTTGGAGAACAGAAATTATTTTTTTTTTTTTCTGAATCATTTAATACATTGAAATTACAGTTAATATTACATGCTTTATCAAACATAATTTGTCTGCCCCTAACATACATTGGGCATTTTAGCATACAATGGAGCTCTGATTCAATACAATTATCACACAATTGACATATTCTTTGGATTTCTGGAAGATTTTCATGTCTCTAGCCTTATTGATGCCACGCCACACATAAACTTAGAGAAGGTAGATCTATGAGGAAATGGTAAATTAATTTTACTATGTACAAGTCTAAGACATAAAATGTTTGTCTGTCTGTCTGTCTGTCGATCTATCTGTCTGTTTGGCTGATAAAGAAACGAGCTCTGACGGTTTAAAACGAACACACAAACCTTGGTTGGTACAGGGACGAAACTTGTTACAAAGGAAAGGAATTTGGCAATCAAGGAAAAATTAAGTTAAACGTAGTAAAAATGCTATCTTTAAAGTAAATGTTTCAATAGGTAAATAGTTAAAATAAGGCGATGCATTAAGCTATCTTAAACAGTTCTTTTTATATTTTTGATAAATTCGAAATTGTGGTTTATGTCAATCAAAAGTTTACTTTTAACGCCTTAGGGTCACGATATAACTGTCTCGGTTCTTTATGTAACATTAATATTAACTAAACGCAAACTCCTACTTTAAAGTAAATAAAAACTGAAAAAACTTTACATTTATGAACTCTGAGAAAATACTGTTATATTCGTTCCACTATTGTAGTTTCATTGCTGTTCTTAGCACCTAATATTTACAATTGCTTACTGCCATTGAATGTTCTAAAATGAACCACTTCTTTACTTAAACTTTATCGATACATTGTTATACAGTAAGCTGCACTTGAGTTTAAGAAAATTAATTTATCACCTTCTATATAGCTTAGTTTCTCGTATAGAAAATTGACAACAAATAGTTGTTCCTTCAATGAAATCTCAATATTAGAATAAGAATTAATCCAATCTGTTTTATGTTATTTGGTATATATGAATCGAACATACATATTCATTAAGATAATACTATAAACCAACTGCTTACATTTTTTTTGTTTAATGACAAAAAATGTGACTGAGGCTTCTATATATTTTGACAAAGGCTAATATTTCTTTATAACAATTTTTGTCCACGGTTATGGACACATTCGTATAATATATTGCCCTAAAACGATGTTTGGTAATAACTGACCGACCTTTAAGTTACGATATTGACTACCAATATTATAAGTTGAAAATTTCAATACTAAATGACAGCCTGATTGATGAACTGTTTATTTTTTAACAGTTAGTTTCTATTTAAACAAATTAGTGTGAACATCAAAAAGTGTTGAATGTCAAAATATACCGGTATTTCAAAGTTAAAACAAGGTGATGCATCAAAAATAAAACTGAACTTTCAAAATATTTACACAGCCCTTGGGATGATATAAATGTTTAATGTATTTTGTTATATATGTATTTGTAGTTACTTTTTTCAAACAGCACATTTTATCGAACAGTATCACTTCAAGACTTGAATGTATTTCTCCAAGTTTAACATTTATAAACTTTTTTTGACTGTTTTGGTCCATAATGTCTTAATC